AGATGAAGAATAGTAATTGATAAAATTTTGTGTGATCAACATTTTCTTATCTCAATGCAAAATAAAAAATAAATAAATTGAAACAAGTTATGTTATCTATCTATCTATCTACATCTTAGTACATGTGTGGTTGTTATTGAGAGGAAAAATAAAAAGATAATTTTACTCATTCTCACTAGATAATAATAATTTTAATCGTTTTAAAAAATATTATTATAACAGTCACGCTCTATAACAATATTTTATTATGACAATTAGTTTTTCTTTAATTTACTTAAAGTCATGTGATACATTATTATATGTTTACTATAATAAAATTTCGATGGAATTATTGGTTCACTTAATAATTTTTTTAAAAAAAATTATCTTGAAATCAATATTTCAAATATTTTTCAAAATATATAAGTATAGTAATATTTTTCTAGAGATTTATTATGATCCACTCATTTTAACAACATTTTTGTGGCCTCAAGGCTCAAAATGGCTTTATAGACATGCACTTTTCCAACTTTCATTTTTTGTCTTACTAAAAAAGTCTCTTCTAGTAAATATATTGGTTTTTTATTTATAAACAAATTTACGATGAAGAAACACATACGTTAAATATAAATCGTGGAAATATATATTTTAGTCCTTTATTTTCTTTTTAACTGGATCCACGCTCTAACGCGAGGGAGAAGTCCTTTGGGCAAACACATTAGGGCTTTAAGACGAGTTACTTGTCTTACTCTAAGCCGTTGATCCACATTGTATCAGTATCCTTGAGATTGATGAATGTAATTGTGCGTACTTCATTTATTTCATTGAGTGCATATTATCTTTTAATCAATATATATATCAGATAATCTTATTGTTTCAAACAAATAAAAAAAAACATCCAGTATATATTTTTTTTTATTTCTACTAAAATTTAAACCATATAAAATACCATCTATTATTTTATGTTAATTTTTTCGAAAGAACAACTCTACAAGAGCATTGTAAAAAAATAATAAACATTCTCATCTAAACTCATGGGAAGAAATTAAATTAAAAATAATTTAATTTCCAACTATAATCTCAATTTATTTATTTTTGGTTATCATATGCATCATAACAAAATACATATTTGCGATTACTTAAAAAGCTTCTTATGTCCCCTTCCAACTACACTTTTGTATTCGATTTCACGAGGATCAAGATTCTCGACGATAAAATTGATAGTCAAATTATGAGCAAAAAGCGATGTATAATTCGTCGATGATGATGATGAAGAAATATCAATTTTAGAAGCTGTGATTGCTTCAATTGAAATTTGTGTATGATTTGTAGATGAACAATTAATCAAATAAATTACAAAACATGTGAATGAAATAAACATAAAAAAGTTTAGAAATTGACAACAAAAACTCAAATTAGAATTTTAAAATTTGGATGGCTTCTTGATTTGTTCTTCATTTAAGACCACAATGTGACTATTATTATTATCACAAGGTTCTATTAATGCTATCTTCATAATTTAAACTTTAATTTGAATAACTAGGAAAATAAATAATCAAAATAGTGTCTTAAATAAAGGAAAAAAGTTAGTTTGAGTAAGGAAAAGATCAAATTAATTCCTTAAATAAAGGGTTAAGTCACCTTTAATTTCTAGGTTATTTCATCGATTATTTAGTATATGCTAATTGAAAGCCTGATTAATTTGGATTCATATCAAGTAATATGGCTTTGAAGTAAAACAAGGCAATGTGTACGGATCACAGTTAAAATTTAATTATTTATAATAATCTACAGACTACAATTATATTTTAAATTACATCATTATTATAGCTATGTAATTTCATCTAAAATATTAATAAGTATAATTTCTTTCCCATAAAATAGTCCTCCAATAGAATAATTTGTTTTTATTTATATTTACCTAGGACATTAAATTATTGTATATTATATTAATTCACGATATATATGCAATTGTAAATCCTTTTTATTCTTAAATGAGTATTCCATCCACTTTTAATTGTTATAATTATTTTGTTTTTTAGAGTCAAACTATAAGAATTTTGATTATATTTTTTTTATCATATTGATATGTAAAGAATTGTAATTTATAGTACTTTTCGTATAATTTTTGAATATCTAATTTTTTTGCTTAAAATATCAAATTAATGTAATCTAATTTAACTTTGAAAATTAGTCCAATTGACTTACGAAAAACGTAACATAACAATTAAAAGTGAACACAGATAGCATTGTTTTTACTAATTACTAAATTCTCAGGAAGGTAATTGGAAAAATTCTTCATATTTTCATCGAACTTTGAGAAAAAACTTACATATATCAATTGTTAAAATTTTGGCTCATATATGTTCTTTTCGCTTGAGAAAAGACTCATCCATTCTATTATTTACTAACAAAAAATAATTTCAATTTTATAAAAGCATTTTTTTCATGTGGTCAATTATGATTTGGCCAAGTAGTTAATTAAATTATTTTTAAAAGGAAAAATGCTTAATGTGCTATCTAACTTTGAGAAAAGACTCATCGATACCATTATTTACTAACAAAAAACAATTTTGATTTTGCAAAATCGTTTTTTACATGTGGTCAATTATGATTCGGCCAAATAATTAATAAACTTACTTTTTTTTAAAAAAAAGGAAAATTATTTAAATATGATATCTAATTTTGAGAAAAGGATCATCTACATCGTCAATTAAAAATTATTCTCATCTATACCATTTTAGTTAACAAATAATGACATAATTGAACATATTTTCAAATAAAAAAAATATAAATGAACCAAACTTTTAACAACTGACATTAATAAATCAAACATTTAACAAATAACATAAATGAGTCTTTAAAAGTTCAATAATATGTTTGAGTTGATATGCACTTGTAAGTTTTTATTTAAAATCTAATAATCTAATTAATTTAAATTCGATTTTGATAAATTATCCGATTTATATGTAAGTAAGTTAGCTAAACAACAACTTTACAAGAGCAATTGTTGTGAAAAATAATAAACATTCTCATCTAAAACTACAATCTCAATTTTTGTTATTATTTTGTTAAAAGATCTAGCTATCTCACACAACATTAATATATATTATGCATCATAACAAAATATAATGTCTCTTTGAATCAAATTAATTGTTGTTTCATACTAAACTAACCATTAATAAACTATAAATCAAAATATATCAAACAAAAATAGTTCATAATTTCTGTTGTATTCGCATCCACGATAAAAAAATGAGAAATTACTAGATGGATATCTTTAAAATCCACGACAATTGTTTTTTAAAAAAATGAGAAACTGCTAGGTGGATATCTATGAAATCCACGATAATTCTTTTAAAAAATTGAGAAATTGCTAGGTGGACATCTTCGAAATCCACGATAATTTTTTCAAAAAAAAAAAACAAGAAATTGCTAGGTGTCAAATCTCGCTACATTTCTTTGGAAATCTTGGTGTTATCTCTTGTGTAAATGATGATGCAAATTGATGAATCTTTACATCGTAGCAACGAACTCTTGATTTATACCATTTGTAAGTGTTGTGTATTTCCACCATAAAATCTCCATAACCATTTGTTGTATTCATCTCCTTAGCCACATCATTGCCCTTTATCTCGATCGGCGAATTATCGAAATGTATTCGTACCCGAGTACGTTCTCCTTTCTGTTGATGATAAAGACCTAATGTATTCGCCCATAGAATATGTCCTTTATACGAAATCAAAACGAGTATACTTTCGTATTCAACTTCACGACGATCGAGATTTTCGACGACGAAATTGATAGTCAAGTTATGAGCAGAAAGGGATGTATAATGAGTCAATGGTGATGAGGAAATATCAATTTTTGAAGCTGTGATCTCTTCGATTGAAATTTGGGGATGATTTGGAACTAAGCAACAAATTAATAAATTAATAAAACATGTGAAGACAAATATTAAAACAAAGGGTAGTACTTGACTACATAATTTGTTAGAAATTTCAACTTTGGATGGCTTCTTGATTTGTTCTTCATTAAAGGCCACAATATGATTATTATTGTCACAAGATTCTATTAATGATGATATCTTCATATTGTTGAAAAAATTTAATTTGATGAGGAAACTAAATAATCAAAATAATGTCTTAAATAAAGGAGAAAAATTACATTGTATTAAGAAAAGATCAAAGTAATCCCTTGAATAAAGGGTTAAGTCTGTATTCAGTGTCCGCTAATTTAGAGTATGATTAATTTGAATTTGTATATGAAAGTACGACTGTGAAGTAAAACAAGGCAATATGTATGGATCCCGGTTTTGATGCCATCATTTGACTTGTGCGTGTTTTTTTTTAAGTTTTATGAATATACTGCTTCAGACAATTTTAAAAATACTTTATCTAAATTTATATATGTCTGAAGTTTAATTATTTTAGTATGAATTTCGATCAAATATATTTAAAATCCCATCATTTATCATAATCTTGAATTCTATTTTAAATTACATCATTTATTATATATACTTGAGTGATAAATAAATACTTTATAGATATGACATTTCCCCAATAAATGAGGTAGCTAGTTATATTTCTTATTCCTTGATTTAAGTAGATCAAATATTAATAATATTTTATGTATCTCTAAAGATCCTTTATTCCTATATTTTAATAAGAAAACATAAATATCGGGTCCTATAAAAATTATATTATCAATATTTTTTTATTTCACGATATTAATAATATATAAGATTTAATATTTTATGTAAAGATAAAATTATTTCTCAAATTATTTTAAATATTTATTTATTTCTTGATTTTATGTTCTATATTTGTACTAGTAATTTTTTTTATATAAATTAACTTACTAATTTTCTTATTTAAAGAGAGATGTTATGCTAAATAAATTAAATACAAATCAATACAATATTTGATATTTGAGTTTTTTAACATTTACTAATTGAAAAGACAAATATATCATCACACGACGTTTGTGACCTTAAGTGAATGTATTATTTGTTACCATAAATGTAGGTTTCTAATTGTTATTGCATACATATTAAAAATAAGTCTGTAAGATAGCTTATTCTAATAAAATACAAGAAGAAGACAATGAAGCAAATTGAAACCTGCACTCAATTGTGGCAGCGGCGACCTCTGTGATACCAGGGCTAATCTACGAGGAGCATGAGAGAGCGTTTCAATATGATCTTCGAAAGAAGCAAAAGAGCCAAGGAACATCCTCAAATCCTAATCAAACCCCCGAAGCTAGAAGATTGCGCATTCAATCATCAAGCGTAACTAGTACACTCTTTCCTTTTATTTGACCCGTTGATTCAACTGATTTTTTTCAAGCAACTGCAATTATTTTCTTTTTCTTTCACGGCCTTCCCGCGGACGACATAAAGCTGCAACAACATTCGAGATAGAAGTGATCCAAATAAATAATGTTGAAACCGACGTATATCCTTACTCCTCATCCAAACGCAAGTTGAAATAATTTTAAAATTTTATCTCAAATTTATTATCCCTCGTAGCAAACGACCCTAGTCAAACAACATGTGTATTTATTTCAAAATAATTCCCCCAAAATCTTGAATTTAGCACTTTTACCCCCTTTTTTTCCTTATAAAAATTTCAGCTTTCCCGCCCACTGAATTTTCCTCCCAAATTTCTTCTTTCTCTCTCACTCACACACAGTGTAGATGCAGCCAAATCCTCTTTGTATCAATATCTAGCAGTTTAGGGGGTACCCATTGAGCCAAAAATGCCTGATTTTGGCATTCTTTTGGATCCTCCATTGCCATCAGCACCAGAAGAATCAGTGTCTTCGTCTTTAGCTTTGATTTCTTGCCCAAATCTAGAAGTTCCTTGTGAATCTGATACCCAAATGCAGGAACTAGTTTCTGACCGAAATTCCCTGCTGGGGTTCCCTATTTTGATGAAAGAAGATGAGTTGAAGCCGGAAATCAATGGGTGTGTTGAGTTGGTACAAAAGGAGGACGAGCTGAAACAATTGACACCCAAATCGAGTGATTCTGATATCCAAATGCAGGAAATAGTTTCTGACCGAAATTCCCAGCTGGGGTTCCCTAGTTTGCTGAAAGAAGACGAGTTGAAACTATTGACACCCAAATCCAGTGAATCTGATACCCAAATGCAGGAACTAGTCTCTGACCGAAATTCCCAGCTGGGTTTTCCTATTTTGCTGAAAGAAGACGATTTGAAGCTGGAAAATAATGAATGTGTTGAGTTGGAACAGAAAGAGGACGAGTTGAAACTATTGACACCCAAATCCAGTGAATCTGATACCCAAATGCAGGAAATGGTTTCTGACCGAGAATCTCAGCTGGCGTTACCTATTTTGCTCAAAGAAGACGAGTTGAAACCGGAAAACAATGGGTGTGTTGAGTTGGAACAGAAAGATGAGTTGAAACTGGAAAATAATGGTTGTGGTGAGTTGGGAATCAGGATATTAATACCCAAATCGAGTCAATCTAATACCCAAACTGAGGAACTAGTTTCTGACCCAAATTCCCAGCGGGGGTTCCCTATTTTGCCGAAAGAAGACGAGTTGAAACTGGAAAATAATGGTTATGGTGAGTTGGGAATAAGGGATTTGATATCCAAATCCAGTCAATCTGATACCCAAATGCAGGAACTAGTTTCCGACCAAAATTCCCAGTTGGGGTTCTCCTTTTTGCAGAAAGAAGAGTTGAAACCGGATAACAATGGTTGCGTTGAGTTGGAACAGAAAGATGACAAGTTGAAACTGGAAAATAATGGTTGTGGTGTATTGGGAATCAGTGTTTTGATAACCAAATCCAGTGAATCTGATACCCAAATGCAGGAACTAGTTTCTGACCGAAATCCCCAGCTGGGGTTCCCTAATTTGCAAATAGAAGACGAGTTGAAACCGGATAACAGTGGGTGTATTGAGTTGGAACAGAAAGAAGACCAGTTGAAACTGGAAAATAATGGTTGTGGTGATTTGGGAATCAGGGGTTTGAGGTCAAGTGGTGGTGGGTCGGTGGCGAAAAAGAGTTTGGATGAGTTTGTTAAAGATTGGGTTGAGAGGAAGGTCAATGCTGGTGTAGATAAACGCAATTGTGTATTGCCATTCCTTATTCATGCTCCAAAATCGGTAAACTTGTACTTCTATTTCCTTTTTAGTGGTTATTGTTGATGAATTTGAATTATGCCCGAGACAGCTGAGTTAGGGGTAAGGGCTGCATACACTCCACCCTCCCCAACCCCACTTGTTAGCCTTATTGTTAGGTTCTATCATGATCCTATTTTGGGTGTGACAACATGGTATATGGAAACAACCTCTCTACCTCACTTGGGGATCGCACTTGGTATGTTGTTGTTGATGATGAATTTGAAGTATGTCAGTAGAAAATGTAGCTATTTGGTCTCTGCTATTACCATATGGGATTTGCCATGAGATGTAAGGTATTTATATTATCTTGTATCTGCTCTTCTAAGGAAATGTAGAAAAAATTTGTTTGGTGTCCACAATGAAAACTGATGTTTCTGTTTGCGTGCATCAGAGAAGTGTTTAACTAGGGAAATCGGTTTATGTACACCTATAATTGTCTCAATCAAGTTCGAGTACATTTCTTGAATTTTGGAGGTACACTCTAAGCAGCTGAGACTGTAGCTTTGGCTTATTTGCTCTTTCCTGAGATATAGGTGGAGAGAGCTTCGAAGTCAATCAATTCTGTCTGCTAACAAATAGAAGATTGACATAGGTAGAGAGAGCTTGGAAGCCAATCAATTATGTCTGCTAACAGATAGCAGATTAAGTAAGCTCTATATTGACCTCGAGTTTTACTAGATTTTGCGTAGGTTTTGCTTGAGCTCATCTTTGAATTTTATCTTTTATCTTAGTTAAGCTTGAAACCAATAGTGTTGTCAAATAGTGAGAGTGTTTCATTAGCAAGTCCCCAAGTTCTTGAAGTTAGGTCTGAGATAGGTTGATGAGCATTTCACGTTGCTTAGAGAGGGGTTCAATTTAGGACCAAGGAGTAAGATGTGCATGTCATTCCTTGTAGGCTCTATCCTGAAAAGGGTTGCAATAGTAATATTTAATTTTTGTTTTTTGATAAAGAGTAATATTTAATTATTTCACTTAATTATAGTTTGTCCTTGTAATTGTTATTTGTGTTTTTAGTTATCAAGTGTTCCACATTGTTGATGAAATGGGTTTTATCCTTGTATAATTTTGAGTAATCTTCACTTATTCACTTCATGAACTAGCTTTTGGGTTTATATTAGGCTCAATGTCCATTCTCTTTAACATGTTATCAGAGACAGCCATTCTTATACATAGTTACTTGATGTTGGACTCCGTGTTATGTTTGTCCATTCTCATGAGTGTGCTGGGGAGGACGATGCTAAGACTTTTTTTTGATTAAGTAATATTCCATTAAGAAAAGGGCAGAAGCTTGCCCATATACAAGAAGTATACCAAAAGTAGAAAACCTTGCAAGAGGACATGTTTTCTACAATAATACCCACTCATCTATACATGTAGGAAACCATGGGTGCACCAAAAAGGAAGAGGGTGTTAAATTCATACATCGAGTTAGATTTTTACTAACTCTTTCCTATTTACTATTTTAGGAGACAAACACGTATTAGATGTTTTATTTGATCAATTGATAACAACCTTTTCCAATGTTTTGAAATTTTTGTGTCAGGTTGAGTGCTCTGTTTGCCAAGGATTAATTTTTCCAGGTGATGAGGTAGAATGCTCTGTTCGAGATTGTATGGGAGTTTTCCACTTAGAATGTGCTAAAGAAAGACTTGGGTTATCTTCTCCCAAAATGTTTAAGTGCCCTCAACATGTAAGTTGGATTTAGTATACATCTTGATTCATGACTGAATGATCACAAAACAGATTTCCTACTTAATTTTTGATTTGAATTTGATCAGCACAGTTAATTCTTACTCACTTTGATTTGTACAATAGCTTTAGCAGTGCATATTTAGTTTCTTAAAGCTTGTCGATTTCCTGTCCCACTTTTAACAACATGCTAGGATCTTACCTTCACCAAGGTAGTATACCACTTATATCTGCTGCTTCAATTTTGGCAGTAGAACCAAAACTCTAATCCTAAATTGGGGGTACTTTCTCTAAACTATGAACTATCTGTTTGAGGAAAGGATAGATATCATTTCTCTTCCTTCTCTTTGTGCATTTTCTCATCTTCATGGCTCCAGTTTTGTGTAGGAAAATGTTGCATAAAATCAATTAGTTAACTACCATGCCCTTGTCTTGGGATGATCATTATAACTGGTGTGCATATGATGTTTTTTTCCTGAATAGGTATGTTATGTTTGTAATAAAAAGATACATCTCTGGCGGTGCATCAGATGTCCACTAGCATCACATGATAAGTGTGCAGCATTTCCGGAGCACGTGGTTCATTTAAATGATCAGCCAGGGCGAGTTATTTGTTGGAAGCATCCATCCGATTGGCGTTTGGAGAAGGTCAATCTCTTCATTTGTTCATCAACACAGTTCTATTTCTATTAGATAAGTTTTCCAAGAGACGTCTTTTGTATAATAATAATAAAATGATCATAATTCATAATGCCAGAATACACATTTGAAGGAACCATCTCTTAGATATTTTGCTGTATATGTTACTTTGTTATTTTTGAGCCTGCAAAATTTGACAGAGTTTGCTATGATTTTGCATTGTTTGCACATTGAGCAATAATCAAATCATGATGGTATTCATGATTTGATCTCTCTGTGATGCTATTAGTATTTGAAAGAAGTGATGAAATAAAAGCAAAAGTAATTCAATATACAGTAGTTTCTATCACTGGATCTTTATTTTTGATTGATTAGGCTGGCTGACATGACAGGACTGACGTATCTTGTTTCATAAGCAGCATGAAGCCCCTACAAGTAATTTGGAGGTTAGACATTCATTAAACCATGTTTGTTGCTTGTGATTCTTGATGAAAGCCTTTTATTTAATGTTTTTTTAATTACAAAAACCCTTTATAGTAAGACGACTTCTAGTGTATGTAATCATTTATAATGTGGCTCAACAATAGTTGTTTTCACCAAGTTAACCCAAGTTTCCATACAACAAGGGATTCTCTGGAAACTTTTATTATAAATTTCAATAGAAGTTGTTGTATACTTCTTATATCTGTAGCTATTCTAACAACTTTCTATCTGTATACTACCATATAAGTCAAAAGTAAAGATACACTCACAACGTTGGTCTCCGAGTTAACTTTTCTTCTTGATATCAATCTTCTATAGCCTCCAACTCGGCACTACTTCATCCATCATCTATTGTAATGTTTAATGAAAAACTGAGCAACAAAAATTCAAGGGTTTATTTATAACAATAAAAAAAGAAGTACAAGGGTCCTTATGTATGATCTGACTAATCTTATTTTCATACCCTTTAAACGAACAACACCATCTTACCAGTGTTATCAAAGACGAAAAAAGCAAAAAAGCTGTAAGGTCTATTTAGTCTGTAGGTGCAAAAAAACATGGGATTTAATGAAAAAAGATGCAAACGGAGTAAAAAATACAAATATGTATGTGTAATCCAAGACTAATAACTATAAACATGAGTAACATATATATATATATATATATTGATAAAGAAATTGAAACAAGATTACAATCTATTAACATGTCAGTTGTTTAGAGTTATCTTTTCATGAATGTGCTTATTGACAAGGAAAATAAAGCCTTGATGACGACATTGAAGCGCCCACTAAGTGAGGCGAAGCACTCAACATATTTTATACCTTGCTTCAAGGCTCAAGCATGCTTAAGGCACATATTTGACAAAACTGCATCTTACGACAATCTTCCCTAGCTTCATTAAGTTATTCCATGTTAAGATTGCATCATACACCAAGATGGCTTTCCTCAAGCTTATATCTCACATGGTAGTCATTCCTTCTTAAAAAATCAGCTACAAAATCCTCTTTATCCTTTGTCAAACTAAACAACTAATAGTACGCATCCTTCAAGGTTGTCCCTACCTCAGTTTTCTATATTCGTTCACTGAGGACCTCCATCAAATAACAGAAAGGTGCATAGTTCTTATCCTTGAAGTCCTAAGTAATTCAAAAGTAGTGCTTTTTTCAGAATCAAGAATTTGAGCACCATGTCCAAACCTAAATCTTCAAACACGCGTGCGCACACAAATACATACTTAGGAGTCCATGTTCTATAAATCATAAACTCTTTTAATATTGAGTTTGCGAAAAAATGCATGCTTCCTCTTGACCTTGTATCCATAACTCATTTGTTATTAGAACTACATCAAAAAATTTGCTTCTGTTCATATGTATAAATAATGATTATGAAATAAAGTTCATCCATCACCTATTATAATGCTTATGAGCACGTGCATTATTAAATTACCTGTTAGATCAGTCGGTCTAAATCCTGTGTCCCTTAGCACAACTCTTCATTGGCATAAGCACTACAAAAGAAGCATTATAACTCTCTTCGAAGGAGCCCACATGGTAGAATAATCTATGTTGCTCAAACTCGGGTGTGGGTGTCTGGTACGAGTGCGGATCTAGAGGTTGAATCCTTTATGATCTAAATCTTAAAATTTGCTAACATGGATGCATGTATGTTTATGGTGTAGAAATTAGGCTAAAAATAATTCAATTATCTATAATAGAGTTATAAAACCTAACTTATGAGATTATCTGGAGAACTTGAAGAGAATAATGGTCAAGAAGAGAATTCTAGAATGAGACAAAGGAAATCCAGTGACAGATAAATTTTGACATACAAGGTACTCCACTTTCTTCAATTTGACCTTAACTGTTGTTTTAATCACAAAAATCATTGAATCTGTCTGCAATTTTTCCATCGATTTTAGTTGACTGGATCGGACAGTCCCTCCACCCCTCCCCCCCACACCCCCACCCCCCACACCCCACCCGCACCCATATCATGTTGACACAGGTGGGGCACCAAAAGTGAAGAGTCCGAGCAACTTAGGAAACAATTTAGGTGATCCATCACATGAATCAAAGAGTGTCAAAAAGTGAATCTGTTTTACGTCATTTCCAACTAACATCAATCACCGTTCTTTTCGTTATTATATAGTTGGTAATAGGATCATACTATAGTATTTTCTCTTCCCCCATTAAGTTACATTACCATCTATCTTGACTTTCTCGAAATATCTATATCATTCAATGTTTGAAGCAAATAGTATGAACTTGTGTGGGCATTTGGTTCTTTAGATACTCAGAATCTTGGATTCTCTAATTATTGACGGATAGATTGTTACTTATTCCTCATAAACGTTAAAGATTTCGCGGTTTTAAAAACTTTGGGGTTAATAATTTCGAGAAGATTCTGAGTAGCGTTTCCTTTTCTTTAGCTTGGAATCAATATCTGGTTTACTTATATTATTACAGGAGATACTAGCTAATTTGCCTGTACCATATGTGGAGGAGGAGTTCAAGATTGACATAAATTGGAAAGACATGATTGACAACAGATCTGAACCACCTCCATACGTGCATATCAAGAGAAGTATCCTTTGAAAATTCATTTGCCAAGTGTTCTTAAATTTAGAATTTGTATTGTAGTTGTAAGCACATCAATAAATGAACAACTGATATCAATCTAATTTTTTCAAGGTTGCCTATATTTCTCTTTGTAATTTAATGGTGTTGAGTCCTCAATGTGTATCGTTTTTTCCTTTTTCTTTTCTCTTGTTTAATCCTTTTCATGAGAACTGAACCAATCATTTATCTTTGTGATTACATACTTAACTCTTGCTAAACCAGTTCTATATGCTGCTGTAGTCAGAAAGACACATAAGGGAGATGTGGACTTATACTAAGTTCTAGTGATCTAAAAGATAAGAATAAGGCAACACATAAGTTTTAACCAGCTAGGCATAAGCTCCATGGCTTTTCTAGTTTATATGTTTGATAAACTTCTAACTCAATGTTACAACTTAGGAGAATAGTTAGTAGTAGCTAAGAAAGCATAATAAGTGGAACAATATGTAGTAGACTAAAAATCTTTTTCTATTATAAATATAAATAAATAGATGGGTTTATTGTAGAGAAGTGAGGGATAGCCTAGTGGAAACAACCCTGTAGGTTGGTGGTTCAAGTCATTAAGAGAGATGAGGGAATGAACCACTGTCGACTCCTGGATAAGGGGTTCTTGGAGTGAGTTTATTGTATAGAAAAAGGTGTTGCAGTATAACAAACTGATAATCTTCTCAATCTTTAAAAGAACCAAACAAATTTCATCATAAGCTTGTGCAATTTGGGTCTGAGTTTACTTATTCTAAGTCTATACCACTTGGAAACACTCACTGATCTTCATAATATGAATTTAGTTCATTTATAACCTTTATAAAAAAGAAGTTCAATGTTTAGATTTATTTTGTATATGAAATGAAGAAGCAAAAGGCCCAATCAATTACTTGAAAAAATATGCTTCGATTTCTAAATTTGGTTTGGGCCATAGTCCAATGGACATAAGTATCTCTTGGATTCCCTGTGTTGTTCATTTTCCCCGGTTAAAGCAAGCAGAAAACTTGCCTGTCAAACCTTCGCTACATACACTTGGTCTTGCTAGCAATAAGATATCTTGCTTTTGGTGTTTGAAAGTTCAGAATGTGTAGAAAAACAAAAAGCTCAAATTGCAGCACAGAAGCACATAAATCATAATTCACTATGTTAGTTTGTCAACAGGAAAAGTAGTACGATGCGGAAAATCCTTAACTGAATTAGATGCTTACCTCATTAAGAAAAAGCGTGATGGCGTTATTGCTGATATTGGGTGCACACACTGCAAATCCACAGAATGCTCGGACAATTGTGTTTGCAGGTAATGCCAATGGTTGCGTGGTTTTGTATTCTGTTCTTTTCAGTCTGGAATCTGCTCTTGCTAATTGTCAAAATATGCAATGATTTGGTGTTATCATTCCTGATGTGAATCCTAGGGAAGTCTTTGGAGATTTATATTTATAATGCAACTCTGAGAAAGTTAAGCCTACGTTTTTTTAGACAAAAATGTTAAGCCTATGTTATGATATTATTGTGCATTAGTGTCTCAGTTTTAGGATAAGGTCCTGTATAGCCAAGCTTTCTGGAGTACTCTCTATTTCTAGTGACATTTGGTTAACAAATTGGAATATTTTTCAATTTCCATGTCTTCAACATTCCTTTAACTGTTCCAAGAGTATCCCATTGTACACCAAAAATATACAAATATATAAATTCCATACTTGCCTGCTAAAAGTGCAGTGCAGAAGTAGGTGTACAGTTGTCTCTCTACTAGAATTACTTAAGTAACTACTGTTTTTTGATGGAATAAGGTGAACTTAAGTAACTATTGTTTGCCACTGAAACCCTATCTTCTCTAAATTATCTTAGTGCAAGCTTCATGAGTTGCATCCATACAAAACCTGTCACTTTTGCTTCCCAAGGACATTTCCTTGCTGCATTTGATTCTTGAGCAAGAACTTCATTGGGATGACGCAACAACTATTATGCTTCAATCTTTCAGCAGAACTTCATAGATGATCTGATGAAAATTCCCACCTTTCTTGCTTTTTATATTAGAGTCTTCTGAATTCTCAGGTTTCCCAGCCTCGAACATTCATACTTTACTTGTATCAATCACTATGGACATGCAGACAGCTAATCCACCTATAAATGCTTCTTATAGTGATATTCACCAAAATATTGGACTTACTTCTGTCGACGGTAGATCTTTATTGGAGAGCACTATGAACTTTTATTATGTTATACATTCAGTTTCAAGAAAAAAACTCTATATCCATTAAATGATTTAAATTGAAATCATGATTCTTCGGCATACTTGTCTAGCAATATTTTCTTGAGCCTAGGGTCTCAGAAACAATCTCTCTACCCCACAAAGGTAGGGATAAGGTATGCCGTATGCGTACACACCACCCTCCCTAGGACCCATTTGTAAGTGTGACTGTACAGGATATGTCGTTGTCGTTGACTAGCAATATTGCACCAACTCCAATAACAACATCACCATCTCTGTCATCTCCATAAATATAATAGGCAAGTCAAAGTGTCAAACTAATTTGTTGATCTTGCTGCTCAATTATTTTTGTTAGACAACAGTTGAAGCCTTGAAGGGACTAGGGAGTAATCTCAGTTTACTGCTGTTTTTTCTATTGTGTGGTCCATTGTCTCATTGATCTTCTAGAAATTTGTTCTTTATATAATTTCTTCTCCTTGTCCAGCATGTTAGTTTTTTTTTACTGGAATGGGGTTCCAGTAGCAGCAATGAAGGTTTATCTAAACACGTTTGCCAATATGAATGAAGTATATTAGTGTTCCCATTTGAAGCTCAGTAATTATTATGCCAACTTAAATTGGCATACTGTATATTTACAAGTAGCTTTCTTGACAGTTAAATTGATACTTAATAGGGTTCAATGCATAAGTTGTTCGAAGGCGTGCCGTTGCTCTGATATGTGCTCAAACAGACCGTTTCGGAGAGATAGAAAGATGCAAGTTGTCAAGGTGTGACACTTTGGTACTCAAGTTTCCTTGTAACCAGCTTATGATTTTGATTGTCATGTTTATTATAAGTGGTGGAATGGCTTCATGCATTGCATTGGTTGATTCTTTTCTGTGTTGTTTTACAGACTGAGCTTTGTGGTTGGGGGGTAGTAGCATCTGAATCCATAAACAAAGGTGATTTCATAATTGAGTACATTGGCGAAGGTGATTCTCTTACAAGTGAAGCTGTCAACTCTCAAATACGCTGTTCATGTTTCTACATCTCTATTAAAACATAACTGATATTTGTGTTTATAACAATTTTCAAGTATTTACACTCAACGCTTATCTATATAATGTTATGCTCTGCACCAAACAACAAACTCGCCTTAATTTAAGGCAAGTTGGAGTCGACTATATGAATTCTCGCTTCAAGACATTGCCAAAGTATCTCAAGCAGCCTCTTTATCCTTAACGTGTGGTAGTTGAACTTTCTATCAATTCTGGTCTTTTTCAACCATTTAATTTGTACAACTAAAGGTCCATCTTAGCATCCACATCCTGAGACACTTATCTTGTAGATATGCTGAATTTTAATGGCCCAATATTCACTTCCCATGTAACATTGTTGGACATATAACTGCTGTATAGAGCTTTCCTTTCACTTTAGTAGGTATCCTTGTCATTACGTGACACTCCAGTAACATTTTTTTAATTCAACCATCATATTTTGATCATATCTAATATCTTTATCTAGATCAACATACTCCTGGAGTGTCAAGCCTAGATGTCTGAATTGTTAGTTTTAGGTACTGCAACCATGTCTAGTCTCCCCTCAATTTCAATCTCCTTATGTTGTTTAAGTTTGATGCCTTTGATGGTTTCACCAATTAGCAGGATTTTATCACTATATAGCATATCATCCATAACTAGGATAAACAAGCACGAGTTCAGTACCTGGCGTAAACCCACAGTTGTGAGGAACTCTTTTTATCATGTAAATCTTTTTCCTGAATCTCGAAAACCTATGACATTTTTGAAATCCATTTATTCTCTTGCTATGTCATCCATTATTCCTTGTACAGCTCAGTAGGATCATCTGCTTGAAATATGCAATGTGAATCAGAAGATTTTCTGCTAGTTAATTTGGATGCAAAATTATATTTTTTTTGATGATCGTGGTGTTTGGGCCAGCTTTCGTGCACCTCGACTAATTCTGTGGATACCTGCCACCTCCCACCACCAACATGTCTTTTGAATCTAAATGGCCTTTAGTGGCCCATTTGCTGTGCAATCATTTTGTATATTGTCAAATGTCGAGACATTTCGTTTTTGTCTTAGTAGGCATTTTAAGGCTTCTAATTTGGTTATTCTTTTCGTGTTTCAGTTATTGATGATGCCTTGTGTGAAAAAAGGCTATGGGACATGAAATACAAGGGAGTTCAAAATTTTTACATGTGTGAACTACGGAAAGATTTCACAATTGATGCAACTTTCAAGGGAAACTTGTCCCGTTTTCTCAACCATAGCTGTGATCCTAATTGCAAATTGGAAAAATGGTTAGTTAACTTCTTCTATTAGCATTTTGTTGTTTCAGATTTTTTGGACTGTTCTTACAGATCAGATATTAGTGATATTTGCTTCCATGTGTTTAACATGTTCATGTGACATCTATCCTGGATCAGACTAGAGCAGTTCCATAACACTGGTCACATCAACTTGAATATAACAAAGATATATTCAAACACTAACATCTCAGACTTGACTTTTTTGAAGTTACATGACCATAGTCCTAACTCCTAATCCACATTAAAGAATAGTACATAGATTTCATTTATGATGTCATGCTTTCAATGTAACATACATTTATATACTCTTCTTATTTTTGTTCAATTTTGAGGTATTATTCCTTTTTTTTTAAATGCTAAAACAACATGCCCAATGTAGTCCCACCCAGTGGGGTCTAGGAGGGTAGCGTGTACGCAAACCTTACCTCTACCTCAGAGGTGAGGTTGAGAGGTTGTTTCCGATAGACCCCTGTCTCAAGGCAAAGACAGTCTAGGAAAAGACATAATGAAAGTACAATAGACAATATATAGTAACAAAAACAACAAATAGTAACATAATAGTACTACAGCAAAATAACACCACAAACAAACTACATGCGATAATAGACAGTCACGGAAATTGAAAAACAAGAAACTACTAGAGTAGTCCTACGACTACTAGTAAGGGCAACAAGAAAAATCACTCCTATCTACTAGTATGGATGCACTCCTACCTACTAGCCTTCTACCCTAATTCGTGTCCTCTACCCTTATTTGAATGCTAGATGAGATTATCCTACCCTGTCAACCGAGTTCCTACTAGAGGAAGAGTTGATATTAAGGTATGAAGGTCGAGGATTAGCGTAGAAGGCTATTAGGCAGCTGAGTGTTGCATTTTGTGTGGGAGAGGGAGTGGGCTAGCCTCCCCCTCTCCTGTTATCCTTTAGTATATTATTAGTTATTGCGTAGTTTCTTATTCTTCGATGTGTACTGCTTTCTGTTTCTGCATTTGTTTTGTATCTATGCTACTTTGCTGTCTCTTTTCTCACAATCCTGTCCGATGCTTCCCTTTTGAGCTGAGGGTCTTTGGAAAGAGCCTCTCTACTTTACAAAGGTAAGGTTTGCTTACATCCTACCCTTCCCAGATCCCACTTGGGGGATTACCCTGGGTATGTGGTTGTGATGGTATATTCTACAGGCACCTGAGCTCTGTTGGTTAGTTGAGATTCTTGATGAACTTAACTTTTGAGATGCCCTCATTCGTTGTTGCTCAATTTCTATCAAGTCTTCTCGCTGTATCTAACATCCATTATTGTTTAGAAATTGATTAACAAACAGATGTACCTGTAGAATGCCATTGCTTTTATTTTTCCTTTATAGTTAGTTCCCTACGTATTCATCCCTTCTCCCTTTTTTCTGATAATCACATATTTGTCATATTTCTTGTTGTGAGTGTTAAAGTCCAATATATTTCGTTCTTCCTTTATGCTCATTGTGTGCCTTGATCAATGCTATAATGGTTTACTTTTATTGCCTATTAAAGGCAGGTTGAAGGTGAGACTCGAGTTGGTGTCTTTGCTGCTAGATACATTGAAGTAGGAGAACCTCTGACCTATGATTACAGGTATGCTCCTTTGTGTTGCTACCTCAAAATAATGGCTTATTATGCGGTAAAGCTGTGAGGGTTCTTGTCTTCTTCTTTTCTATTTAACCTTTGGTTAAAACTTCAAGGTATGTCAGTAATATGTCTGTTAAGTTTTTAACCATCTGTGGTTGGTTATACATGATAACTGATATAATATGATTGATTGGTATGAGACAAGAAGCCTCCTTTTCATCTGACTAAGGTGTCTAGGAAAGAAGACAGAATTACGTTCTATTACTTTGAGTATTTGGCAATATTATTTTCAGTGATATGTGAATTTTTGTATGATTTCATAGGGGATGCTTCCTGTTATGTTATTTCGTTTGATGTACCTTTCTATTTCCACCAAAGATGTTGTAGTAGCTGCTTGTGGTCCTCAAAAATAGTACATCAGGCAGTATTAAGAACATAAATCTCCATTACTAAAAATTGTTTATTCCCTATATCAGATGTATAAACCAAATGGTGAAGTGATGTTTAAAATAATTTAAGAAAATCACACTGATTAAATGGTCTCTTGGGGAACTTCATATAGGAGGTTGTTAACTTCAAATCTGTCACAAAATGTAATGTCAGATATGCTGTTTGAGATGATTTTGATTCTAAGCCTGTTAAGAGTTCTTTGACTAATAGTGCACTCAGGAGTGGAAATACGAACAATTTTTTTGACAACCAAAGCTAAAGAGAGCAATGGGGATAGATAGATCCCTTGAAGTCTGGGGTAAAAGGCTCACAGAGACTGCTGCACCAGACAGTTCACTTAATGGAATCCCATTATAACCAATAGGATAGAAAGATATGCCAGAATAAAGAAATCACTTTGAAGTAACTGGAAAGATTGAAGTTCTTGATGAGAAAATTCGATGCTAGTTATTATTGTAGCCATAGAAAGCACTGGAAGGCATCATAGTTTCTTATAGCTGTTGAATTTCCATACGAGGAATAGTCTACAAAATATATATACTGATCTTTAACCATGCATTCTTTTCGTAAAGTTGTTGCTTTGACATGGACAAGAATAAGGAGGAGTCTTTGAAGCTTAATCCACTAAACAATGGAAGGCTTTAAAGCTTAAAATTGTACAGTTTAGTCTTAGGCACCAAGTAATATACAGTCAGAGCTTCTACAGCTACGTTGTGTTCTTTATTACAACATTTCACTTTAGTAGCAAAACTGTATCCGGACCAACGTCACTGTTATAAAGAGATTTGATTGTACGTGTCTTCTCTTTAATTTTGAAGCATTAGACTTTATGTCATATGCAGCAACTGCAACTACCATGTCTCATTTCCAAACAAATTGAGATCGACTATATGAACCTTGCTTAACCACGTTTCTTAGTCTTAGACCAAAATAGCTTAATTAGTACTATGACTATCAGTTTTGCTTGCTGAATCTGCTGTGCTTTTGTATGCAGATTTGTTCAGTTTGGTTCAGAAGTGAAGTGCCATTGTGGAGCTTCGAAATGTCAAGGATATCTTGGCAGCAAAAAGAAAATCACAAGTAAACTGGACATCAGCTGGGGTTCGAAACGCAAGAGAACATCTACTTCTTGCCTTGCCATTGTTAAATCGAATTCATTTTAGCCTATTATTATTTTACTCGATCATTTTAGTATATCGCATTTTCTACTAAAGATGCAATAAACCAAAAGAAAGCCATTGTCAAAAGGAGAGGGAAAAAAAGGAACAGAAAGATTGTTGTTATAAGCATTGTTACATTGATTTATACTGCATTTGTTATTTCACTTTTATTCTGAAAAAAATATGACAGAATCCTTACCTTATAATGATTAAGTTCTTTTTTATTTTATTGACTCTTTCATTCTAGTTGGATATGTATGGTTTTTTCATTTTTTTTATGCTTCTGAGACGAGTGTTTTGCGGAAACTTCTACCTCTATGAAATAAGGGTAAGATTACTATCTATACTCTTCAAATCCCCACTCGTTGGATGTAATACACTTAGTATGGCTTCTTCCGAGACGAGTGTTTTGCGGAAACTTCTACCTCTATGAAATAAAGGGTAAGATTACTATCTATACTCTTCAAATCCCCACTCGTTGGATGTAATACACTTAGTATGGCTTCTTCCGAGACGAGTGTTTTGCGGAAACTTCTACCTCTATGAAATAAAGGGTAAGGTTACTATCTATCCTCGTCAGATTCCCACTCGTTGGATATAATACACTTGGTATTGAACTTCCATTTCTTCTTAAATAATTTAATTTTAATGAATTTCTCGATATAATTATAGAATCTGCACAATAATCATTCGATTTTCGTAGACTCCCATTCTATCCCTAGCAAAATATGAATGTACTACTTAGCATTCATAATCAAATAAATATTAATCTTAAATTACTCAATTATTACATTCAATAATTTGGAATGTACACTTAATCAACTAAATATAGTAAAAGAATAATTAGCATTATTCTATAAAGGAATTTATTTTGTAAATTCTTTATATACAATTTCAAGAATATTCAGTAGAGAATATATGATCTGTACATGACTCACTTTTAAAGCAAAGAATGGAAATATTCTTGTATAAAATATAATTAATTGAAGAATAATTAGTGAAAAATAACATATATATATTATATAATTAATCAAGCTATCATTAAGGGGAAAAATATAATCAGTACATGACTCACCTAAAAAGCAAAAAATAAAAATATTCTTGTATAAAGTTTCCCTATATGCTTAGTTGGTGAAAGATATCGATATCAAATATATATTTAATCGAAGAATAATTAGAAAAAAATAATATATATATTTATATCGTATTTAATTAAATTATATGATAATTTGATTCGAATATCATAATTATTATGCTAATTTATTTATATATCTCATTTCTCGCACAAATTCGAGTCCACCACACACACGCTTAAAATGCCGATAGATACTTCCGCTAAGATCTTCGTCGCCGGCCACCGTGGACTCGTCGGATCCGCCGTGGTTCGGAAACTTTACCAATTAGGCTGCACAAATCTCATCCTCCGTACACATTCCGATCTCGATCTCACTAATCAATCCGCGGTCGAATCCTTCTTCGCCGACGAGAAACCTCAATACGTCATCCTCGCAGCCGCGAAAGTCGGCGGCATACACGCAAACAATACTTACCCAGCTGATTTCATCACTATAAATCTGCAAATCCAAACGAACGTTATCGTTTCATCCTTCAATCACAAAGTTCAGAAGCTTCTGTTCCTTGGTTCTTCATGTATTTACCCTAAATTTGCTCCTCAACCAATTCCTGAAAATGCACTTTTAACTGCTCCTTTGGAACCTACAAATGAATGGTATGCAATTGCGAAAATTGCTGGTATTAAAATGTGTCAAGCTTATAGATTGCAGCATAACTTTGATGCAATTTCAGCAATGCCTACGAATTTATATGGTACGAATGACAATTTCCATCCTGAGAATTCTCATGTTTTGCCTGCTTTGTTACGTAGATTTCATGAAGCAAAAGTTAACAATCTTGATAAAGTTGTTGTGTGGGGTACTGGTTCTCCTTTAAGGGAATTTTTACATGTCGATGATTTAGCTGATGCAGTTGTGTTTTTGTTGGAGAATTATAGTGATTTAGAACATGTTAATGTAGGGAGTGGGAAGGAAGTGAGTATTAAGGAGTTAGCTGAATTGGTGAAGGAAGTTGTGGGGTTTAAAGGGGAGTTGGTTTGGGATTCGACTAAGCCGGATGGGACACCAAGGAAGCTTATGGATGCTTCAAAGCTTGTTGGATTAGGTTGGACACCAAAGATTTCGCTTCGGGATGGTCTTGTTGATACCTACAAATGGTACTTGGAGAATTATGGCAAGCAATAGTTCAGGTGATTATTGAATGTTTACAAGATATGAGATTGTTATTTTTGTTTGTCAGATTGTTGAAAGATTATAATAAGCTTAATTGAAATATTGATTCTCTGTTGTACTGATTATGTACTATGTTTATGTTAATTATTTTTGCCAAAGATCCAATTTTTATTTGATCTTCTGTTTTCAGGAATTCATGTTCAATATTGAAGCTTCATTGAAATATTGATTCTCACTATATTTATGTTTATTACTTTTGCCAGTCCAATTTTTATTCGATCTGCCACCCTCGAGAGTTCATGTTCAATATTGCAAGAGTTCATTGTGAAATGTTTAAAAACACTGATCATTTTGTATTGAGCTTTGTTGTCCGAACACGATTGGTGCTGACCTTACTTTCTGGTTGGTGATCAACTAGTTGACAATGGTAAATAAGGTTCAAAGGGAGGACCTTTTTTCATCTTGGTGAAATGGAGTAGCTATTTAACATAATAGGAGTTTTTTGTTTTTGTTTTTGAGGATAGTAACAAAATAGGAGTTTCTTTTGACCATATAAGGAACCCATCTCAATATAGAAATATTAGCTTTTTCCTTGTCCCTATATGTAATGTTTTGAATCTTCAAACGGCAATTTCATTCATTTAGAAAGAGCTCATGGTACTCCTTTTATGTTTTTCTTTATTTATAAAATCGTGGTGCCGGGGCCATTGCAACACCTTGACTAATTCCATGTGGTACTTGCTACCTCTCACGTGCCACATACTCCCTTCTGTTAGTCTTTGTAAGTCATGGAATTCAACAGGTTATTTGCACTCATGTGTACTACAGTGAGAAAAAAATTATCCGCTCCCATATAATTTGTCACTTTTTGTGCTTAAAGGATATGATATAGAGGAACCATAAAGAATTCTTTGACATTGACACATGAAGTTTCCAGTAGTTTAGATCTTGGGATGTGGGCTTGCAAGCAATACCTGCAAATGGAGTGAGGGGTTTCTATTTGAATCTAAAAAATCAGAGCTGATGTCATAATTTAAATTTCTGTTCTGATAACCATGTTTTCCTTATGTGATAATGTCGTAGAGTAACTCGAGGAATTTTGGAAGCTGAACATGCTCCAAAGATGCCTAACGCTTTCAGCTTTGATTATTCGATGCTGAATGACACAGTTCCTCGCTAAATAAAAATGAAGCTATAATACAGCCAAGAAAAGAGATAGATCACATCTTTGGCCAAATGCCAATCCTCCTAGTCGAAAGAGATAAACAGTATAGACGTATGCAAAAAAAAAGATCACTCCTAATTACCAGTCAGGTGAAAGGAGCCCACTTACCCAGTCCGCTTTCCTCCCATTGCTAGGAGCTTCGCCCTCTTAACTTGATATGTCAAGAAAACTACAACTGCTAGTGGATCACCTCCTGCTTAAGAAGGCCACCATATCATATATATGATAAAAGAGACAGACGGTTTTTAGCTTCTTTTTTTTTTGCCTTTTTTGGGGGGTCTAATATGAGATGTATAACATACCAAGTCCCCTCTGAGATAGCTGAGAGCTACATTAATAACCGTAGAAACTTTACTTTTGTAGCCTGTTCACCCGGAACTTAAAAACCTACTACAACCTAAATGTTTTGTTAGATACTTACTAAAGAATCACTATCATAAAATGCTAAGTTTCTTAATGCTTTTTGTTCATCAATAATATCTGACCTTCCTCAAAAGAAAAGAAGAATAATAAGGTTTATAGGGAAAAAAAACTATTATTGTAAGAAGTTTAGTAGTTGTGCTGGGAGGTATACTGTGCTTAGGTTAAATCAGAACAGATGATTGCATGCAACTTCCAGCATATTGATTGCCGGGCCTAGAGTCTAGACTTTTTATGTTTGGTTCTGCTCTGCTGAAGGTTCCTACTAGCTGGTCTGCAGGGAGCTTATATGCTGTTGCGTATATGCTGCAGTCTTAACTCCACAATTATTTTCTGAAATTTGTATGTTTACGCTTGTTTTGACTCTTAATGTTACTTGAGGACATGAAAGGTAACCTTTTCTGCATAAAGATCATAATTATCAATAGGATACCTGGGGATTCATTTATGAACATCTTTATATATCTGTTCAGTTCTTTCAAATGGACGTCTTCCAAGTATATCTGCTGGTCCCACAAGGTTTCTTGAACAAAAGTAGGTTATACATCTAAGGAACACCAACTTCTGTGGTGTTTGCTTCAACTAAAATTGTCCTCTCCAATGTCTGTAGACTTGCTGGTTTTGAGGCAATGTTAATATTAAGAATACCTGGATGTAACAATTTCAATTTGTGATAGATAAATATTCAAATTATTCATTTATCATCTAGATACTTTTTTATAATATAGAAACCCAAAACACGAGAAGCCTATGGATATTGATAAAATGGGAGAAAATGCGCAATTCAATTTGTCATCTGTAAACATGCGCATTATAGGGAGAAAATAGCCTCTCCCAATCATTATGTGTCACTGTTGTGCAGACAGAAAACGAAAAAGGAAACCACGAAGACTTCTTTTGACATGACACAGGATGCTTCCAGAAATATGGCTTGGATGTGGGGTACAAGCAATGCTTCTTGATTGTTCATTTTAGTTCCTACCTGATAACATTTCTTTCCTATGAATTAACTTGCTGATACTTCCTAGTAATTGCTCAGAACTTTATCGCTGATCACTTGTAACTTAATAGTAACTCTAATTTTAATGACTTGTTATAATTACGTTAATTTGAATAGATAATTGCATGCCATTTTCAGTAGATTATATGCTGGGCGAGGACATTTTTTTATTTGGTAGAGTTCTGCCTTGGTTGGTAGTCTTCCTTGAGCTGAGGGTCTATCTGAAACAACCTCTCTACCTCCCAAGGTAAGGGGTAAGGTATCCACACACACTACTAGTGGTATTGCACTGGCCACGGGATATTTTGTTGTTCTGCTAATTGGTGGTCCTGCTAGTGTAAGTGAGCTTATATGCTGTTTCTGAATCTTAATGTCACTAAGAAGGAAAAAATGAAGTATTGCACTATAATTGGGCTATATCACACTCACCCCCACACCCACCGTGGGGGTTCATTTTGTTTGGCAAAGATTGAGGGACTTGTATCTTAGGTTACAAGTCGAGCCCCATGCCAAGTGAACTAACTACATTATTTAAGTGGAAAAGAGTAGAGGGACGGCCCCATCATGCTTGAGGTTCGGAAGTTGTGGCCTTGTGGTTAGCTCAAACGGTTCCTAAAGGTGGACTCCAGATGGATTTCCCGGTATAACTAAAGAAAATGATGGTGAACTATGATTCTTTTTCCACCCTAGCTGCCCTCCCCCATCTTGATGGTGCGAGACTAATTAACCACTGAAGCCTGTTGAGTATAGGCTCTTAATAACTGTTATTTTTGGTTTGTTCTTTTCATTTCACTTTCACCATACACACAAGAAGCTACCAAAGGATGAGTATCGATCGAGCATGGTTTTCTCTGAAATTGATTTCCTTTGAGAATTCATGTTTATGACTTGGTGGCTAATAAACTTCATTATTTCCATTTTATCTTGTTGTTTCCAGTATTGAATGTGACGATGCTCGTGTGCTTCATATCTTTGCAATAGGCAAGATTGTTGAAAGCACAATTTGTGAAGTAGGTAAGAAATTTTCAGTTATAACTCTGGACTTGCTTTGTTTGAAAGAAAATTCATGACATGTTTAAGGCAAGTGCAACTTTGATTTGCTACAGTTGAGCCGAGGGTCTTTGAGAAACAACCTATCTACCTCGATGAAGTAGGGATAAGGTATACTTTACCTTCTCCGCCCCCCCCCCCTCCCATACCTCACTTGTAGGATGTTGTTGCTGGTTAAGGCAAGTGCCAGTGTGCAAATAGCGTAGCATAAATGCTGTGGATTTGTTAACACTATTTTGTTCGTATTTTCAAGGTTATATTGAGGACAGGTAAAACTATGAAGTGCAGTTTACCTCTCATGAGTGGTTTCCGGGATGTTAGACTAGAGCAAGATTTATCCAATACGCACCCAAAGGCTAGTAGTTGTGATAGATATTTGGTTAGTCTAAAATAAGAACAATCTATGTAACTTAGATAAATGAAGATGCAACACAAGTATAAGTATAAAAATAGGATGGTTGAGTTGAGAATTACGAAGTCTTAGATTTAAGTACCCGCGGAGGGAAGATAATACTAGCTACTATTTCTTCCATCTACCGAAGCTTTGACAGATAGAATTATCCGATACTTGTGTTGGTCGGAATAAGTACTAAGAAAAATTATTTTACTGTGGATGTTATCTAAAACTACTTTACTTTTTGGTCTTTTCTCTATGAAGGAAACAGAAAAATAAATAAAATGAAAACCATAAACTACAAAATAAATAGGAAATCTCTACCATCTCTTTAAGCTTGTACTTTTTCTTTTATTATATTATTTTTCTGTTTTTTTTATGGGTTTCTTTTAATTAAAAAAATGGCGATATGACAGAATGAGTACAAATTAGTTCTGTTAAATTTGTACAAAGGCAAATTTCATTAGATATCTGCAACAATATTCTTTTGGTTTCCAAAATATATTTATTTTTGATAAGGATTTTTTTTGCAAGAGTACTAAATAAATTTTTATGGAAGAACTCAAAACAGTAATCTCAATATTATTATTACTCTTGAAATTGGAGTTGTTGTTGAGTTATTGAAAATTTGATCAACCTTCTAATACCACCAAAGGCGTTACTTTCTTTAAAATACTTAAAATGATCTTACGAATCTAAATATCTCAAAATGTTAAAATATTAGTACGTTTGTTGAAAACAATCTCTTTTATCTCTTTGGAGTCGGAATAAGGTCTACGTACACCTATTTTCCCTAGACCCTATTAATATTGTTTAGAATGATATATAACATAACCGTCCTTGCCTACTTATTATTATATTAGTCGAACCTTAGTATTCTACGACAAATATAATATAATAAAATAAAATTCATAATTTGAAATCTTTAATTAAGAACGGGGTAAAATTATGTTCATTCCTCCACCACTGTTGATGGTATACTATCATTCATCAATTATTTGTTGACGTTGAAACTATTTTGACATGTGAACTATACAATTATGGTCTAGTGCAAGTTGTGGTTTGATACTTGAGTGGACTTTCTCATTGTGATGATTAATGTCTAATTGTCAAAGAAATCATATTTCTAGGTGTTGACCTAAAAAAGTTCCCAATGACCTAATTATATATATATATATATATATATATATATATATATATTTTATTTTATTTTTTTAGGGAGGACTTGTGCTCTTATTCTTCTGTCAAAAGTAGGAAAGAGCAAGTGTTTGATCAGATTAATCAACTAATAGGAGCAAAGATTTTACTTCGCTAGCACGGAATTGTAGTCGATATGAGTAAGGTATAAGAAGGATAAGATATATGCATTACTTTGTTCATACTTTTATCATATAGAGATTATTTTTGATAAACTTTCAGTACGACTATGTATTATCAAAGTATGCTAAAGAAAAAAGCAACAACAGTAAACTAAACTAGTATGATAATGTAGGTAACACAAGACAAGAAAAAATATGATATATTTAAATAATATATATAGAGAAAGAAGTGATTATTTTACCAAAGGTTTTTACTCTTCAAATTGTAAAATAACTATGGTATTTCTCGATGGTATCGATAAATAATCAATATTTACCGCACAATTATGTTATTTTTGAATGAATTCCTTTTTTTTTCTTCATAGTATTCTCATTTAACCTCGAATGAGTTACTTAATAACAAGTTTAAATATTTTTTTTGTCCGTTATTTATTTTTAATCATTTGAATTTCAAGATTTTAGAGTCAAATTTTTTTTAAAAAAAAATGTTAATTTATTGTTCAAGAATCTATAGATAAGTTAATAGTAATATTTTCACATTTTATTACTATTACTATATTATTTGGAAGGTAATTGCAAAGGATTTTTTATTATATTCTTTTTTCTTAAATAAAAAAAAGAGATGCAGATTTAGTTAAATCTTTGCAGAAAATGGGACCCAAAAATAAAAAAAAAGAAAAGAAAAGAGGATAATACATTGTAAGATATTTTATTTTTATTTTAAATGTTCAGTCTGCAATTTTGGAAGTTTATTGAACAATAATTAATTTTTATTGTTAAAAACAATTTTACAGTTTTACATTCAGGTGGAAATATTTTTTGGTTTATATATCCAACAGTAAATAAAATCTGGCCTGTCTTATACTGACAAATAAGGACTGTAAAAATAGTTCATATTTACTCCTCAATTATACGAAGAAAAAAAATAATCATTTTTATCTCCTGTCACATAGTTTAGAAAAGAGTCGCACCCAAATTTTTCGTAATATGAGGACTGAGTTCATGATTTGAACCCGTGATCTATACGATACATAAAGACGATATTACTATTGCTCCGTCAAAAATACACTACTAGAACCTAATGTCATACAAAACAATGTTAATATTGAATCTAAAAACACAATGAAAATGTTTGATTATGCATTATATCAACGATTCAATATAAAAGACACTAAATTATTCTTTTGATCTAATTAACGTAACTGATCAACCACGTAAGCTAATAAGATGCGTGAGACGGAGATAGATCCAAAACAAGCAAAGGGTGTTTATGAGAGTGAAAAAATAAAATTTAGTCACCCAAAATTATATTTCAAGATCACAATAGGTCCAAAATATGATCCATTTCATGGAAAATTCTTACTCAATTTAGGCCCCCATAAAAATACAAACAAAACAAAATTTACTCCCAAAATTCACGTGCATAGAAGAAAACAAAAATGCAAAATTTAAAACAAAAAAATATAACAATTTTGACCAAAAAAAAATAAAAAAATAAAATACAATCAATGCATGGATATGATGTGATGATTTAAACTATTATACATAAAAAATAAAAAAAATTCTTTTTACTATTATTACTAATTATTTCACATCGTTTAATCAGACACGACTAATAAATGTTTGATATTTACATTAAATTAGGTTAGTTTTATCACAATTAATTCAAGTAAATATGTATCGACTAACTATCTTTTGTAATACAAAAATACATATCATATATTTATTGAATCGATATTATACGAGTTATATATTAATTAACTTTTTACCTAAATTTCTACTACTATATAGTCCTATTCTAGCATAATGCAAACCTAGTAATTTCACCTACTAGCTTTTGTTATGTCATCATCTCACTGTTTTAACTACCCCACATACCAAAAATCCAAATTTCAAAAATAAAAAAATAATTAACTATTCAACATAAAAATTAATGTTTCAAATTTCCCTTTTAATACATGAAACAAATAATTCAAAATATTTTCTCCATTTTACATTTCAAAATTTCAAGAATTAGATAAACGATTCTTTCATATCAATCTACTTTACAATTACAATAACAATATATTCAGTATAATTTCATAGTGAAATCAGTAAACAGTAAAATATAACGATACCCTTAATATGAAAAAATAACTAAAATTATTTTTAATGGACACTCGACTTAAAAATAACATAAAGATAACTAAACTATTTTTTCATATATTTTTTAATTATTATATCAATTTTTCATATTTGGGACAAAAACAAGATTATTATTTAGCAATTAAATCAAGTAATAATAATATGTATAAATCCTATATAATTTCCTTCTTCCAAAAGATAATACTAATAATACAATTAATTCCAAATTTTCTACAACAAAAATAACATTAAAAATAAAAAAACCAAAATTAATTGTAGAAAAATAAAATAAAAATTAAGATCAAAATGATATACAAGAGTACCATTTTTTCAGAGAGAAAAGATTGAGCCGTCCCCGCCAATATCACCACCGTCCACCGTCGTCAATCCACCGGAAAATCAAGAACTGCCGGAAAAATCCATTTCAAGCAGAAAAAATCCAACTTTGAAACCCACAAAGTAAGTATTTTCTTGCATTTGCATTTCTGACATTTTCTTCAAATCTACAGAACCAAAATCAACAAGAACCTTCATTGCACACCAACTGTTTGATAATTTTCCACCAATTTTTTTCAGCACCAAAATCAGTCCTACAGAAAAAAAAATGTGATTTTTAAAGAATCCCATTTGTAAAAAACATAAAAAGGTGTTTGATTTTGTCTTTTTGGTGCATTTTTTTGGGTGTCACATGAACCAAGAAAGGTTAAAAACATAGGGTTGATAAATGGTGTATAGGTACTATCATTACTCTTATATGTCACTCGGACTCTTTAAAATGAGGGTTCGATAACATTTTTGAAAAATTCGAGAAATTTATATAGTACTATATGTCATAGTATTTCATTTTCTAACTAATTCAGATTCACGTCGATAAAAAAGTTTAAAACCTTTAACACTTTCTACTAAATAAAAAAGGTCTATTACTCCTTACCAAAGAAAACCTCATGATTCAAACTCGAAACTTCTTCGTTGTCATTCCACTATACACCATTACATGAAACACTTATTTGCTCCTACTCCCAAGAAAAAAAAGTTTCCTTTTCAAGATTTTGAACTCGAGACTTCTCGTGAAGAATGGAGAGATCTTTACTTCATTACAAGATTTAAACTCGAGACTTCTTATCAAGAATGAAGAGACCTTTTACCCTTCCTCAAACACCCTTTTAGTGAAACTTCTTAGTTTGTTTGTCTGTATGTTTGATGAACAAGAGTTGTCCTATCCTTAAAATTATGTGTTATAGGAAGTGAGAAAGAAGAGGGGGAAAAGAGGGTTAAAGAGACAATTTAAGGACATTGAAAGAGAAATCCTTTGTGCCTTGTGAGTTTGTATATGTCTATTCCCAACACAGTGTGAGACTATCTGTCTTATTAAACAAACATAATGAAGCCAATAGTGTTAGCTTTGTGTTGTGTTATTTGGGCATGGGCTTGACATTGATTGACACTAATAAAACCCCACACCTCTTTTAGTTCCCAACAAGTAAAGCTAAGCAAGATTCGGAGATTGTAGATTCTGAAGTTGAAACTTGAAATTTGAAAATTTTGAGTTTATCTTTTTTTTTGAAATTGTGTTTGGATGTTTTGGTGAAAGATTGAAGTTTTGTATGTGGAAGTCTGATTAGATATTCAAAATCTTATCAAAAGATACAAATATTTTAAAATTTTTTCAAAAAGAAAATGTGATCGAACGCGAGCTTGAGACCTATTACATTTCTAAAATCTTTCAATTTAATAGATGTGTTTTTTGATGATTCTGATGTTCGTGTTACTTTGTTTGTATCTCAATTATTTCGCATCATTTTTGTTATTTTACTCACTTGTGAAAGTTAACTATATCCATCAAATTAGTTAGATACACCCCACCCCCTTAGGGTTTAGCTCAATCGGCAAAAGTTAACATATTTGAGACTTATGTTACATGAGTTATATGTCAAACGAACTTTGTCAAGTATTTAAGTAGAGAGGAATAGAAAAAACGAGGTCATTATTTACAAGTTTCTAAGGTTAAATTAGCCGTTCTAACCCTATTTCAAAATATCTCTAAGTAAACACTGTATTGGTCATGTCACATATGTTATCAGATGTTTATATTAAATCAATAAATACATAATATATCACTCAACTCATAATTAAGTTTTCATCTCATTAAATCATATGATAAATTTAATATAAATACCTAATACAAGTAAAATTTAACCCCCCACCCCACCCCCACCCCCAACAAGACAAACACCCTTGGGTCAATTTTTCCCAATTTTTTTTTCACTTTCACACCTTACATTGCCTCAAAAGTCCAGTTCCCAATTTATCTAGATTTGCACAAGCAATCTCTGTCTTATTTTCTTTCCTTTATTTACCCTTCATTTATTACAAATTTCCTTTTCTATCCTCCATAGATAATGATGCACATCTCAGATTCAAGAAAAGTGGTTCAACCAAAAAAAAAGAAGAGAAATTACGATAGAGCGATAAATATTTTTTTTATTTTAATCAAAGCGGTCATACATTCGAACCAAAAATATATTGTTGTCATTGTTAAAGAGTGCTTTATCTTTTAAATATTAAAATTTTTAATTTTAATTTAGTAAAGTTTCAATGCAGATATCAAAGATCAGATAATAAATAAATGGGAGGTTCAAAATCTTGTTTTTTAAAATCATTTTTTTCTCTCAATATGTTAACACTAATTCAAAATGTATATATATATATATATATTTTTAATTAATGCAGCTTTTGAGTAGTCTATATTATATTTATAGTACAAGTTTTTTTTTAATGAGAGATGACCTGACTCTACTGACTAAAAGGGCATCAATTTCAAGAAAAAATTCAAAAAATATAAATGAATAAATATATTATATTGTATTTTGATAATTTTGTTTATTTGTTATTTTATTATTTTTAATTTTCTTTATATCATGGATGATTAATTGAAAATAAATTTTCTACCTCAGAAACGTAGAAATATGATCTACATATATTTCATTTTTATTATACTCTACTCATTAAGCTATATCGAGTATGTTATTATAATTTTTTAATTATTTTTTTAAATTATTTATTTATGTTTTCTCGAGACTATAAACAAAGCAAAATCCAAGAATTTGTGGCCTAACATTCATTTGTTGGAGCTAAACAAGATTGCTAATTAGCTACTTTTCCCAATAAACTTGGTTTTTGTTGACTCTATTAGTCAATTATAATAAGTGTTTGTGGGCCCAAAAGGTTTGAAAAATGATGGTCCCACTAAGTAAACTTTTGCATTTTTTTTATTGAGAAAAGGATATGATATATCCCTCAACTTTGTCACGTAGAGTTGATATATCCCTCGTTATAAAAATGACTCATATATATCCTTACTTGTAAACAAATGACTCACATATACCCTTTTCCTCTAACGGAAATGAAAAAAACAATTTTAATCTAAATTTATATTATTTTTTCTAAAAAATATAATTTCATATGAGTAAATTTAATTTTCGTTAAACATATTTTTTTGATTTTTTTTGTTTCAATGACTAATTTATAATTATTATTTTGATAATCAAATTTATTTATGTTTTCAGTAATATTCTTGTAAAATTATTGTAGATGACCAAATTTTTTCTTCGAATACGAAATTAAATTATAATACACACAAAAAAATAGTTTAATTTTTTTATTTAAACTAAGGAATGAAAGAAAAAAACAAAATAAGAATAAAAAACTCAAATAATTATAATAAAAGAAGTCAAAAAAATAATTTATGTATGAAAAAATTAAAATATACCTTGAATTTTGATAGAAGAATCATATATACCCCTAAATAATTTTTTTTAAAAAATTAGAAGTAACAAATATAAATTTAAAACTAATTTTTTCACTTCCGTTAATTGAAGGGTATATGTGAACAATTTTGTAACGGCAGGGGTATATGTGAGCCGTTTGTATAATGGTAAGGGCATATATGAGCCACTTTTATAACGAGGGGTATATCAGCTCCAAATGACAAAGTTGAGGGGTATATCAGATCCTTTCCCCTTTTTTTATTTTAAAAAATGAAAATTTTACTTAATATTATATAATTATTATAAAAATATAATCACATTATTATCAAAATAATTATGAGTAACAATTCATTAAAAAAAAGTGAAATTAGTAGCTTGTGAAATAAGATAAAGCAACTTGATTCAACATATAAAAATACATGAATTAGTGTGAATATTTAGTTTTGGTTGAATTTATATATTAGGATAAAAATAAAATACGCGAATAATTGTTTATTAATAATGATATATTTAATATAATTCAGATAAAATAAACATAAATATCAATTCTAATTTTATAGGATAAATAATTGTTTTAAATTCAATTACTGAAACTCTAAGACATTATTACCTTGATTCATAATCTTTCTTTAAATTTCGAACTCCATAATAGTGATTATTTTATGAAATTTTAAATTCTGAAAAGTTAGTTGTGGACTAAAATATGTAGATATAATATGATATAAACTTTAAATATTAAATTCGAATTCGATTATTAATAAATAATTTAAGAAGGGGTACATGTTTTTCCTACCCCATTTTGCAATTACTTACATCATGCCAGAACAGTATTTATAACTGATGGCACATTTATTATTGATGTGATTTTATTTACTATTTATTAGATTTCTGCCCATTAGGTCAAGGATTTAAAACTTGTCTCACTTAGGTCAAGTATTTTTCTAATAAATGTATTATTGGTGAAATATTTTTTTGTTTTAAAATTAAATTAAACAAGATTTTGATAAAAGGTATGTGTTACATTTTAGATAAATACCTACTATATCATAAGGAGAAAGAAAAATAAGAGTTTTATATACTATAATACGTATTTATCTGATATACACACTTTTCAGTTCGATGATGATATATCTCTAAAAACGTTTATCGAGACAAAGTGAACAATTTATTATGTATATTGATGAGCTTAAGTTGTGATCACACATCATTAAGAATGATTTATAATATTGTTCAAGTATTTATTAATTACTTACTAATAAAAATTTCTAGACGCAGAGAGTAGGTACGATCTAATTTTTTAATAGAGGGAAAGATGGTGCAAAAATATATAATGTGTATGCTACGCGCTTTCTCTCTATCAATTCACGAAGCTTAGGCAAGAGAAAAATGTAAATTATCGAACGACTTTATATCAGGTATAGTTCGTTAGGACAACTCATTAGTCATTACTTGATTTATTTAAATAAATGTGAACACAAATAAAAAAATAAAATATATATATATAATATAGAAATAAATTTTTTAAAAACAGAGTTGAGATTTACTAAAATGAGGAAAACAACTATAGTTCTTTCTCTATGAAAAACATTAAAAGGTAAAAAAAAATTAAATGCTAGATCAATAATGTAAAAAAAGAAAGGAAATAAATTAAATGCTAATTAATACCTAGATAAATTCTTATGCACCAAAATGGAACTCAAAGAAAATGATTGAAGTAACTGATTATTTATGTTGTTCGAATTTTTTTAAAATGATGTCATATTTATAATAAGTTTTTTAAATTTTTTTGTTAAATATGCATTTATTAATATATCTTATGAAAAAATCGAAAAAATCTAAATAATTGTTATTCAATAATTATAAACCAAAATAGAACTCAAGAAAATGATAGAATCCAAAGAACCCCATAAGGAGAAAGTTCAATATTTATCATAAATATAGACAAAAGAAGAACTAAATAATTATATATATATATATATATCAATCATTTTCAGAACAGATATTTTCTCAGATCAAACCCTACTTTTCCTGTATTTGTATCTGTCCCATTTATCACTGCCATGTATAACATGGAGTGTTGCAAGTGAATTCAATTGAACTCTTCATTTTTAGTATAGAAAGAAGATTTCGAGTTTGAGTTTTGAGAATGGATAATAAATTCGTTATATGTATATATGGATAGATTCAAATTATATGTTAATCGATTAATAGATTTGAAATATCGAAGGGATTCAATTAAAAGTTTTGAGCTTGAATTTTGAAAACGGAGAAATTCCTGACAGGAGTATGAATATCTTTGTATATCGCCCTACGGGGGAAAGAAAAGGTCTTGAATTTGAGTTTATGAGTTATTGATTGATCTTTTATACATAGTTTGTAAATCTCTTAACCTAAAAATATATTTTTTTGGCCAAAGATATTGACAAAAGCGAAATCGTAATTTTTTTTTATACATATATAGAGTATGTTTTTAATATAAAAAGTATAATTTTCGATAAAAAATATTTAACTAACCACCTTTACTGTGGCTAAACTCTAGCTCCGCCCCTACTACACGATACCCGATATATTATTTTTATTCATATATATTATAATAATTTTCGAGAAAGAGTGTTTACATACCCTTTCTTTGTTATATACACCACTAACAAGGAGCTACTTGGTATCGTCAAATTCATAAATATACATCAAGCTTCAATCTTGAAATACGATACGAATCTAAATTAGTCGGTTCAGTAAATTCTGAATGCAGATGATTATATCAAAAACAAACACAACACAACATATATATATATATATATATATATAAACTTGTAATGAAAAATCAGAAGAAAATATAAAAGAGAAATGAAGAGTACCTCTCAAATTTCCATTAATAGATGCAAAAAACTTGTGCATGGATCCATTAATACAAAATTTATTGTATGTTTGGTATTTAAGAAGAGAAATAGTACTAATAGGAGAAGTATATATATATTTGTATATAAAGAAGAAAAAAAATTAATTAATTAATTAAAAAATGAAAGGAAAATAATTAAAAGCAAAAGGGGTTGCATATCTTTAACACTTTACAATAGAATTGATTTTTTTTCTTCTTTTTCTTGAAAAATAAAATTGTGAAAGAGATTTCATTTTCAGCTTTTTCTTTTTGTTATTCTATGAAACTTGGGGATTTTAATATCCTTCTTTTTTTTTTCCTCTAAAAAAACCTAGAGAAGAAAAAAAAAGCTGACAATTATAGTGGATTGAGAGGCTTTTTGGTGAAAATGCTTTTTGCAGGAGAAAAAGTTGAGAAAAATGGAAAATTAATTTTAAAGAAAAATAATTTTGAGTGAAAATTAATATATTTTAACTACTTTATATATTATTAAGAATATAATTAAATAAATAAAAATATAATCTCTTAATTAATATATTTTAAATTATTCAATAAG